AGGACAAGGTTGACTCTTGAGGCACCGTGTGGAATGGATGAACGACCAATTGGATAGAGAGAAGATTACTCCACCACCTGATATAGCTCAGACGGTGTCAGAGAGGAAGAAGAGAAGAAGAGGAGAAAAGAAAAAAGAGAGGGGAGATGTGGGATAGCCGGGTATTTGTACACCGCACCAGAGCTGGGGAGAGAGAGGGGCTTTTCTCTGAGCTTCTAGGCTGCAACATGCAACGGACGAACTTCGACCGAAAGAATACGCATAGTTTCACGAGGTAACAACTTCAAGAGCTTAATAACATTATATTTGTTGCTTCAACCACGTCTGGTCGTGCCATTTATGACGGAGGATTGTGTCAAGGGGGTAGTTTGGATAGTTTCGACGAGGCTGCATGTCCCTGAAACTTGTCAGTCTGATGGCCGAACATCTCAGCACGCGCTTCCAATTTTGCTGAAATGCTCAGCCTCGAAGTTAGTCACGTGACTCTGCACGGTCACTCGGCGATGGAGAAACATTATCCCGACATGTCTATTTTCATTCCAAAATTCGAAGCAGGGAGCTTTGACGACAAGATAGAGAGAGACAGTGACCTCCAAAGATTAGTGTTACACAAGTATTACTTCGGGACTAACTATGTAATTTCATACCAATGGTGACAGACATCACACACATTTCCAGTTGGCAGCCAATGCAACATCCCCGCTGCCCTTGTACGTCGCCTTTTGGGGATATGCACAGATCGGCCTGTGATAGACAGTCCCGTTTGCGGTTGGCAGACTGATCCCCTGGAGCACATCTGGAGCCTTTCCTTCCTCTACCCAAGCAATGAGACTTTCAAAGACATGACCTGGGTATGGTCCATTGCCACCTCCACAATGCGAAACCCCCGGAGCCTCAAAGTATCGATAGTACTGGCTGACGCTCGGATCGAGCTGACCTACTTTGCTATAATAGATCCTTGAAGTGTTTGTCGGCACTGCAGGGTCGGCGAGCCCATGCCACGTTATCAGCTTCCCACCAGATGCCCGAAAGTCGCTGAGATCAGGGTCATTGCTCGCTGTCATGTCGGTATATGTGTCGACAGAATAATCCCAAAGGCGATAAAAATCATCCCAAGTCAAGGTGGTCCAGTCAAACTCGGGCCGTTTGATCAACCAATACCTGACAAACTCCTCCGAGTACGAGAAAGGAACCATCTGGCACTTTCCCGTCCGAGCATCGCATGTACTGTTCAACGCGACGTTCAACAGCGCACCAGGGTTCAATCCCGGCATAAGAAACGACCCATTTGCTGTCCGCACGGCGTCCCAAGTCTTTGCTGTACCTAGTGCGGCTGCCTGGGAGATCGTGGCGTTGATGCCGGGACAGGTGACGTTTTGGCCAACCAACGTGAACGGGTCAAACTTGCACTGTGCCGGGTCTGAGATGATGTTGTCAATGACGCCGTCGTCCGCATCACAGGCTGCAACCGCTGCTAATGACAAGGCATATATTTCACACGGATTCGGTATGTGGCCTTGGCCACTTAGCTGAATCACCAACGGAAAGTATAGCCCTCCTATCAAAGCGGTGTTCCAGTTGATCCCCGGCGCTGCAGCCAAGATGCCGTCGAATGCGTCGGGATAGCGCTGGGCAAGGACCAATCCCTGTCTGCCACCACCGGAGCAACCATTCCAGTAGGATCGAATTGGTTTCTGGCCATAGAAATCCTTGGTGATGGACTTCCCGATAACAGCGGCATCGTTCAAGGACACCGAGGCCCAGTTCTGCAACGCGTAGAGGTCGACGTTTCCAGGACTCAAGAGAGCCCATGTACTCGCATCTTCGACTTTGTGGCCTGCATCAGTGGAAACGACCGCGAATCCATCACTCAATGCCCCTGCCATGGAAGGGACGTTGAGCCCTGCGAGGAATCCTCCGCCCGCTGCTCCCTGAAGCCGCTGGTTCCAGCCTTCCAAAGGCAGCCAGACCTGGACGTTGATGCTGTCACGCTGTCCGGGGTGCGTATAGATGAGGCTGACATTGCAAAAGCCAAGATTCGTCACGTTTCGCGCGTCGTGGCTTGGGTATCCGCCCTGCGCGATCTCGATGGAAAAGTTGGTGACGGGTTGAGCAGTCAACGAGAGCGTCTTAGCACCAAACAGGTCAGGGTGACGAAAGGATTGGGATACGCAAGCAGCATGACTGAGGTTGGTGGCTGTGAACTTCATATTTGAGGATTAGACCCTCGACGTAAGGGTCTTTGGATTGACAACTTGCCGTCTGTTCTCTCGAACACTCTTGAGTCCAAAAGTCGCGACGACATCCTTGCATTATAACACCCGGGAAGGCCATGTAAATGAACGATTACATCGGCGACAGCCAAGGCAATACTGGCTATACACCTACCCCATGATTGGTCTGACCATCTGGACTAGCTGGTGTAGGTGGAAATTGACCACAAATCACAATGAATCGTCCTTCTCATGATACTAAACCCCGGTCTCTCTTCTCTTCTGCGAGCCGAGCAAGAATCGGCAACCGGCTATACAACGAGGCCGAACCACAGCCTGGGCTTCGCCAGGACTCCGTGCCCCGCGAATTCCCCCACAAACTCAGTTTCCACCTTCGCGTCCTTCATCCTCCATGTCCCCACTTCCGACGAGGAGAGGGCTATTGCATAATACGTCCGATGGCGACCCTGTCGGCAGTAGTCCAGAATGGGTTGGACAGTGGGTGCACTAGGTGCGGTTGGGGCATAGTGAACAAGGACTTGAAATTCGATGTGTCCACCCAATCACTTCAGACCTATGTGCTTGGAATCTGACGAGGTTAGAAGAGGCAAGTCGAAGTAATCTCCTCACATCTAATGACGGGTGGAGAGAAAAGACGGGATTGGTCGCGAAGCACGCACACCATACAGAGATGGATATCCGAATAGTGTAAGACTTTACGATTAGCTCGCTATCATTCGGGGACATGGAGTTCCTTTGAACATTTTGGTTTCTAGGGTACAAGTCATGACGTGCTGCAGCAAGGAGAATAAAGAGTAATTTATACTTGGTGTAGCTGAGGACAAAGAGTACGAAGCGCCATGCCCGTCGGTCCCGATCTCACCGACCTTTCGATCACGTGAACCCCCTTTTCTCCCCTTGCCTCCTAACATTATGTCTTCGCTGTTTTTGTATTTGACCACCTACAGTCCATCTACACCCAAGTGTATCCACAACTATACTCTCTCCACTAGTATGATTGAAACGAAGATATCCCCCTTCAAAACTTACTTCGACGAGATAGCAGAGACCGATGGCGACGACGAGTGTCGGGCATGGTTGAGAAGGATTCTGGACTCCAAACAGGACTTGGTCGACTTTGTCGGGTGTTGCCTGAAACGAGGAGGCAATGGCGCCTACGTCGGGTTCCTCAAAGGTTCCTTCAACTTCAGCTTCCGAGTCAGCTTCCGCGACGGCCAAGACGTGATCATTCGGTTCCCCAAACCCGGCCACACGGCCTTTCGAGAGGAGAAAGTAACCAACGAGGTTCGCGTCATGGAATACCTGCGGCAGAACACTACCATTCCTGTCCCCCGTGTACACCGCTGGGGACTGACCAAGGAGAGCCCGCGACAACTCGGGCCGTTTATCATCATGGATTTTGTAGATGGAACACTTTTATCGACCATGCTGAAGCAGCCTGATGCCCCAGATTTGGTTCTCGACCCCAATGTCGACAACGCCCTGTTGGACAAGGTCTATCGCCAGATTGCCGGGTTCCTCCTCCAGCTTTCGGAGCTGAGATTCTCCAAGATCGGTGCCATCTCGAAGGAAGACCACACCTCCAATACCTGGCGTGTGGTCGCGAGACCGCTTACATACAACACGAACGAACTGGCCACGGTAGCAGGCTACCCTGGCGACCAGTTTCCCACTGAGCCATTCGACCGCACAAGCGACTACCTGACGTCCGTTGCCAAAGAGCATATGACACATCTGTGGATCCAGCGTAACATCGCCGACAACCCGGAAATCGCTCGAGGACGATACACAGCCCGTCGTCGACTGCTCCACCTCATTCCCAAATATTGTGTCGACGACGCAGGCCCGTTCATCCCCTTCTGCGACGACATGCGACCGTCCAACATGCTGGTCGACCCGGAGACATGTCGAATCACTGCCATCATCGATTTCGAGTTTACAAACGCGATGCCCGCGCAGTTTACATACGATCCGCCCTGGTGGCTGCTACTGTCCGGGCCCGAGATGTGGTTTGATCGCTGCTCTGTGAAAGAATTTCTCGCTCTGTACGAGCCCCGAATGAGGCAGTTTCTGCAAGCCCTGGACCAAGTTGAACGAGAAGAGTTCGGAGCAGCACAGCCAGCGCGGCCCAGTCTTGCCACGCGAATGCGTGAATCCTGGGACACGGGCCGTTTCTGGTTCGACTATGCCATAAGAAGGAGTTTCGACTTGGACGTCGTCTACTGGACAGCTTTGCGACGGCACGACGACGACGACAACAAACTCAAATCTTCAGAGAATGAAATGCGTCCAGAGATGGACCCGTTTGTAAAATTAAAAATGGAACAACTCAAAGCATACAACGAGGAGTGTCGCGTGCGTTTTAGTTCAGGGTGAAGCTTTCGACGGCGAGTCATTCGAACAATTCCTGCCGAAGGAATGGATGGATGGAAATTGAGCAATACGTTGGGCAACTCTCGAACCGTGGACGGTTTTTTTGCTGCCTGATATAATCGACATAATATCTCCTCCATCAAAAAACCCGCCAAGTCGAAGTTGTTGTGTTGGAAGTAAAGAATATTTTTGTCATTTCCACCTTGGTTCCCCTGCAAGAACCCACGTCCTGTTTCTCCCGCGGCGACACCCTCGACCACTCGCACACATTATTCTCTGGCCTCTCGTAAACCCGCCCTGGGGTCCCTGGTTAGACTCTTTTGTGCTATATTGGTGAAGGGGGGGGGGGCGTGAGAAAACTTGCACATTTCGTATGGAAAGTTGGGAAAGAGTTCAGCCAGCAGCACCAGCAGCACCAGCAGCGCCGCCCGCCCCTTCGCGTCGACGCTGTTGGGAATTTTCGCCGGCCTTCCTCATGGCCTCTTCCATCTCTCGCTTCTTCCTAGCCTCTTCGCGCCTTCTTTGAGACTCCTCGGCCGCTTTCCGCATCCTTTCTTCTTCTTCCGGATTTGGGACTTTGATGAAGCTACCGCTATCGGTCATGGTATCGTCTGTTTGCTAGCACAAGATTGGAATACCGGGGCGGGGAGGTCAGGAGAAGATCGAGTGCTGATATAGAAAAACCAGGAAGAGGGGGCGTTAGTCCTTGTTTCCTATCAATAATGTCGTCGCGATTATATAGATCGATAGACTTGTCCAAAAGAAGCCCCCCCCCCGAGGGGCAGTATTCTAGCGGTATGGTAAGGGGGCTGGAGCTATAAACCCGCGACAAACCAATTCCCACCCCCTTCTTCCTTTCTTCAATACACCAAATGAGAATCAACCAGCCAACAAAACATTGACACAGCCACGAACCCTGATAAAGAGCAGCAGATAGGTCAGCGTGCGCCAGAAGCACGAGGGCAAGGAGGACCCCGCCCGGGGGGGGGGTGGGGGGGTGACAGGTCCCAGGCTAAAATCTCGCAAAAGTGCAATCCCTGCTCACATATAGTGTTGCTAAAAAAGAAAGGGAAAACGCCTCCCAAAGTGTCTGTCGAACCGTAACTAGCCGGCGGTCGAAGTCTGCATGATCACAAAGAGGGGGTAGGCTCTGTACTATGTTACACGGTGCTAAAATGCGTTGAATCTGCAGCAACCTTGTCCAACCGGGGGTAAGGCTAAAAAAAGAATATGGTCAGATGTTGGGCTAGGCAACGCTTGCCAAAGGAAAGGACCCTGTTCTTTCGCCTCTTCTTGTTTGCAAGTTCTATTGCTGCTTGAGAGGGCATTACAGGAACGAACCCCTGATGATTAACATCCCACTTTGATATCACGTGGTGTTAGCGTAAAGGGATACTGTATTAGTCTCGGATAGAGTATTCTACTCGGTACTCGTTTAGTACGGGGCTTTAGATACGTACCTGTCAGGATACCTACCTCTCCTGATTCTGGATCCTGGCCTCCGTCGCCTGCCGACCCAAAACTTTGGATAGCACAACTGTTCCTCAGGTTGAGATGCCATTCATCAGTAGAGACCCATTCTCCGAGTTGCAGTCCAGCCTGATATGCTTTCCACTAATACCTCCGCCAGATAGTCGTTCTCACAAGCCCAGCCTTCGCAGGAATCGTACGGCAGGTCGTCTAGAGTAATAGTAAGACATGCCTTTCGCAGTAGCGTCAGTTCGGGCGTGCGGTGTGAATCCTCCACACTGTCTTTCATGTGCAGAATGATAGTTGGAGGGCAACCAAACTTGTTGTTATGCTCTAATGTCAAAGCATTGTATGCTTCGACTGTTTTGCTAGTAAGCACAACGAAAGTGCTTTCACGACTAGCCAGGTACGTGGGCCTTTTGGGTGGAAAGGAAGTCGATAACACATATGGATATCGGGAAAATGGGACCACCAGGCGCCAGGCACAAGCACTCCATTGGAAGGGGCAAGCTGACCCTGGCTGTTATCCAGCGTTCGCCATTCGTCGCCTTTTGAGGCATGCTGCAGACACTTCAGAGGATACACTGTCTCCGGATGGCTTCCCGTGTGCGGCATGCCACTTCGCTAGCCACGAATTTACAGGACGCTTCACTCCATCGTCCTCGTGTCTTCTTTCTTACAATTTGGGTTCTGTTGGAGAGTAGATTTCGCTATCTGGTCTTCGAAGGTCGGACTGCGTCGCTTTGGGAGCAGGTCATCGTAATGGAAAGTCTCGGTCTTCCAGTAGTTCGCATCGTAGATATGATCCCGTATGTTTGGGGTTTGAGGGTTGTTCTTGAACACCTTTGCTAGGTGCAGGACTTCCGTTTTCCAATATTGTATGTTCTCGACGTACCACCGATCCGCAGTACGCTCGTCGGTGCAGCATGCTTCCTTCCAAAACGTTGCTTCTGTTCTCCAGTACATCCATTCATCAATATTTTGACGCTCGAGATCTGCAAGATCCCCTAGCAAAGACATGTAGCATTGGGCCTCTGTACGCCAATAATCGAGGTCGTCGATACTCAAACGATGATCGATCTTCGGTTCGAGGTACTGCATTTCTCGAGCTTTGTGTTCCGCCCAAGTTCGGTAGAAAGTAGAGGGAACCATTGGATCAGGGTAAGGAGGCGTGTTAGGAGTTCGAGGGGATTTGATCACAAGTATTCGACGGCACAGAGAAGGGTCGCGAGCAAAAGCTTCGAGTTTGCGGTTGACATATTCGAGGTTTATACTGGGCGAATCAATTCCCCAAGATGGTGTGGCTTTGCCCTCCAGGAATCCCAACATTGAAGGATGATCTGGTCACAGGACTGGGAGACGTTGACAGTTCTTTTGGGCGACTCGAGACCTGGGTCGAGGGTGATTTTAGCATACACCAACGAATGTCCAGTTTTAGGGAGTGAATCACATGCCCCGTGGATTCAGAGCAAAAGTCGCTTAGTTCATGAAGAGGAGAGACATTCAAGCGCCGCAACCGTGGAAGAGGTACTTGTGTGACTTGTGAAACATGGCCTGCGCCGACCAAACGAGACGTTGAATTCAGCCAGAAGCCATTCCGAGAGGAAAGTGCGCCGAGGTCCATCTTGACGATCGCTATTCAACTCACTACTACTCAGCCACCGGGTTATCTAGCTTAACCTGATTCATGTTTTGGTCTTTAATGAGTGTGGCGAGATTGATTGTCGAACCTCCTACTACAGATGGTCTTTCTCAGCGATCGAAAGGTAATGACAGCCATATGTCCCACTTTATCTCCCTGGAGCAACCCATTGACCCAGATGTCGGCTTTCTTGTGTCTTGTATAACCGTTTGCCGACTTCCCTGGCACAGTCCGAGGCGGAGTGGGTCTGGGGTAATGATGTGGAACTACTACGAAAGGTTCGTCTTGTATAGCCGAATGCGGACTTTACCGGATTGGGGCTCGGAAGGTCATCATCATCATTCCTGAGGGAAACTTAAGTATGGCAAAGATGGGGTTACGCGTTCCCTGACAGGCATGGACCATTATTGGCACGCCGCTAATGAATTCTTGCACATGGCCAGCCCAATACTAGGTTCACACCAAGAGATTCTCTTTCGTCCTGTATACCCGGTATTGTGACAGCACCGAGGCAGATGCGGAGACTTCGCGAACAAAAGAAGGATGCCACGAGGCATTATATATATGGGGGATGTCAAATCTGGGGTATGGGTTTGCTTTCGCAGTCACTGACAGCACACGGTTCCCCGCCGGCCTAATCTCTGAGACAAGTCAGGAGGAACGAATCCACACAATATTGAATATTCTGAGCAGACAGGGGAAGAGGGCAGTGCACCGTATGGACTCCCGCGACGAAGACCGTGCTGAGAAAGGTGTCGAAGAAACCTCCACTCAGACCGACCGCGACTTCACGAAGCTCGAGTCGGCCCATATTGAGATCGAGACAAGAGAGGACGGTCACGGTGACGGGTCCGACACCAGCCATGTCCAATGGACGACTCGTCAGATCCTAGCGACGCTCTCTCTTGCCTTTCTGTATTGTGGTCCGTATATCCCCCCACTGCAATGTCCCTTCTTATGGAGCCCCGAAAGAGAGATGCTGTTCTAGACTGACAACACCATGTTCATGAGATAGGCTCGCAACTCCCGCTTTACTTTGTCTCAGCAAGTCTGTCGTTCATAGTCAAACAGGTCGGCGGCGCCGATATTGACTCATGGCTACCCCAGTCCTACGCGCTGGCCTTTGCCTCGCTGGCACCCTTCAGCGGCTACCTACAAGACGTCTTCGGACGTCGCTACATCTCCCTCACCGGCGGCCTCGTGCTGTGTGTCGGCCTGATCATCGTCGGCACCGCGCGGACCATGGCCCAGGGGATCGTGGGCTGCACCATTTCTGGAGTGGGCGCGGCCATCGGGGAGCTTACGGCGTTGGCGGGCACGTCTGAACTCGTCCCCGTGAGAAAAAGGGGCTGGTACCTGGGCCTGGTCACCGGGTGCATTCTGCCCTTCTCACCTTATGCGATCTACACCACCGAGCTCGGTATGCATTCGACGTGGCGGTGGGGGATCTGGATAGCCTTGTAAGTTTTCCTCTCCCTGGCACATTCTTTCCTCGACTTTGTCGTTTCGTCACATTGGGAGTCTGAGCGAAATTTCGAAACTGATATGCTCCCAAACACAGAATCTGGAACGCAATAGCCACTGTTGGAATCGCCATCTTCTACTTCCCACAGTCTCAGATCCGTGGACAGCGGAAGACGGTCCGCGAGATCCTTCCCAAGATAGACTTTATCGGAGCCCTGCTATCAATAGGCGGTCTTACGTTATTGTATGGTTTCCTCAGCACCTATCCCCTCCTAAGCTAGATACTAACATAACAACAGCCTGGTAGGGACCACCGCGGGCGGGTACACGGCTCCATGGAAGAGCGCGAAGGTGCTCGGTCCCTTGGTGATTGGTATTGTCATGATCATCGGTTTTGGAGCCTGGGAGTGGAAGGGCGCGAGTTTCCCGATGGTGCCCCGTGAGTTGTTTGCCGGCCACCGCATCGTCGCCATGAGTTTCCTGGTCTCGTTCGTGGCTGGCATGTACTTTTACGGGCTCCTCAACTTCTTCCCCGTTGTCTACCTGGACGTCTACAGACCTGATCCCATCCAGTCCGGTCTTAAGGGTGTCATCGTCTCCCTAGGAGTGACCGCAGGAGCCGTGGTGCCAAACATGCTGCTGTCGGTGTGGAAAGACCACAACAGATGGATCCTCTTTGCGTGCGCCGCTCTCACGACGGCGTTCGGGTCAGCGCTCGTGACCACTACGCCGGAGAATCCAGTCCAGACTGTCGCGCTGGCAACCGTCGCTGGCTTCGGAATCGGTGGCGTCGTCGCAATGGCCGTCACCACAGCCGTGGTGGGTTCCCCAGACGACATGATCGCGACGTGCGTGGCTCTCTCCCTGTCCATCCGCACTGTGGGGGGCTCCGTCGGCACCGCGATCTACTCCAACATCTTTGGCACGAAACTCAAGCGCAACCTGCCGAAATACGTGGCCACATACGCCGTCGGGGCTGGGCTGCCTCTCGCCTCGGTGCCCACGTTCGTCGAGCTTTTCCTAACGGCGCCGCAGAATCTGTCTTCCCCTGCAGCGCCCTCGGAGGTCCCTGGTCTCAGTGCAGCTGTCATCCAGGGCGCCACGGTCGGTGCGCGCTGGGCATATGCCGAGAGCCTCAAGTATGTCTGGTACACGGCGCTGCCGTTTGGGGTCTTGTCGTGCGTGGCGTGCTTGCTTATTGGGAACTCGTCGACGTTGATGACGAATCGCATTGCTGCGAATGTTCGGCGTTGAGAAGGGTAGGTGGGAGGAGGGGGAGGGAAGGGAATAGGAGGGAAGGAAGGGTCATGCCATGACGGAAGGATAGAGGGATGGGTGGATGGATGAAGTGGGTTTGGGGAGCTACTATCAGGACTGTTTGATAGTCTTCCTGTTTACCAGAAGAGATAGCTCTTTGACGGCTTTCAACTATCAGAAAAATTCAAGCTGATTGACACTGTTCATAAATGGACATTGGGATCCTGACCTAACTAGTGGTCATCAGTCGCAGAGGCTATTTCTATCTCTTCCTCTTCCTCTTCCTCTCCTTCCTACCCGAACGAGAAGAATAACGGCCTAGTCCTCTGTACCTGACGTGGACATCAGACAATACTCGCCTTTCCCTGTATGCACTTGAACTAGAGAAGACGCTCTGGTCTCGTCTGCTCTCCGTTATGATACCTACCTACCTACCTACCTACCTACCTATCTACCTACACAGTAGGCATGATACGAAAATGGTGTGATACGATATGCTAGCTGGGGTATACAAGTACAAGTCCATCTCATTCCATCACCAATTACCTCGGGTATTCACATTCACATTCACATTCACACATACCGTAATTCGATTTCCGTGCCGAAACCTTTGGTTCTTCTAGCCCTGTCCTGTCCTGTCCTGTCCTACCCTACCCTGCCTTGCCTTGCCCTGACTTGCCAGAGAGACATATAACCACGGTGTCACAGATACACGTTTCTCCCCATCCATATGTGATCCAGCCGGTGGGCCGCGGGGGTTATAAACATCCCTTTCGGAGGGGTACGTCGACATTGACCCATAACGATTTCTTTTCAGTTCCCTCACGAGACAACGCGCCGCCACTAGCCCGAGCAGATCCAATTAATTCATTCATCCTTGTGACTTGAGTTGATAATGACGTAAATTCTGGCCTGGTACGCTGTTCTCAATACAAACTCCGCTGGAATACATCGACATCAACATCGAGAATCGACAGACTTTGCAGCCGCAATCCAAATTCATGTGCAGTGGGATGCGGAGACAGTGTCCGCCCGGTTCGACTCTAGACTCCAGAGTCTAGGACGTCGCCCGCCACCTCCAGCCCGGAAAGGCCGGTATCTTCGCGGACGCCAGCATCGCCATCCCAACCACGGTGGACCTGGGTGTCAAACACGCCAGCACAAAAGCGTTTGTGACGCAGCCATAAGCGAGCAGCCTCACGGTCATGTTGGTGGGGAAGAACGAGGCCAGGAAATGGCTCGACAGGACGATCGTGGCGCATTGCCACATCGGCGACGGGCCGGTCATCGCCACGGATACGTCCGTGGTAGACGGTGGAGACTTGTGAGCGGTCAAGGTGGTGAGAGGTGGTGGATCTTGCACTTTGGGCGTTGTTGACTCGAGCTCTTGATCTTGCTCTTGAACTTCTGCTGCTGTTGGTGGTAATGGCTCAGATTCCGACGTGGGACTCGGTTGACCCCCCCGTGACGACGGACGCTTGCACTCCTCCATCTCCGTCTTCAACGCCTGCATCTGAGTCTGCAGCTGCCTGATCTCTTCCATGGCGAGGTTGAACCGCTTCTGCCACACCAGGTCTTGGTTCTGCAGATATGCCGGCGGCGGCGTGACCGGGCTGCGTGACACGCCCAAGCGTTTGCGAGCCACGATCGACGAGTTGGGAGCGCTGATGTTGCTCCGCGCCGGCGGCACGGTCGGGTAGTTGACCTTCGGGAAGGTGTTCTCGGACACCATGGGCGAGCCCCAGGACGCGGTCGACGACGAGACGCCCGAGAAGCCCTCGTCTTCGAAGCGCCAGGGGATGTTCTCAAAGGTCGTTTTCAGGGACGAAATGAGGAGCTCGTCCTTCATGATGCCCGGACCCGTGTCCAGCCGCAGTCTTCCTGGTCCAGCGCTGTAATCGGGCTGGCAAACAGCGACCGGAGTCCCCTTTGCAGGCTGCCGCAAGCGTCCGAGCGCCTCTTTGAT